ATAGTAAAAATCGAAATGTTACACATAAATCTTACATAGTTATTGCAGTCACTATATTGATCGTGTGACATCACGGGGGACTGATATCAATCTTTCACAACATTGAAATGTGGACATACGTTTCATAGACTTTGTCTCAAAAAAAAGATTTTACTTGCTTATCCGAATGTATGTCCTTATCCCAATTGTGATGAAAAACTTGACCTAATAGAATTTCCTAGACGTGATTCTGAGTCGAGTGGAATATCCTCAATAGCTGGCAATCTAGAAAAAAATCTAGGAATTAGTTCTCTTGATATGGTGGATGAAATTATGGAAGAAGACGATGAGGAAGATGATTCAGCTTTGCAATCAACTGATCCCAACTCCAATACTGTCACTACTGCTACCACTAATCCCGATACAATTGCTAATACATCATCTGCAAGCATCTTACCATCCAAGCGTGTTGGGGATCCTACATCTGCTGATAAACCCTCCAGTAAAAAAAGCCAAGAAGCAGAGTAAGAAGGAAGAATCTCCTACATTGAAAAAGCTTATCGAAGAATTGACAACTACTGCACCTGAAAATTCTGAGAAAATACCAATAATTTTTTATACCATTATAGCAGAATTACACACACCGAATCTAAAAGTGAAATAGCAAATAGAGAAGTTATTGAATGTTACTTCAATTTTGGTGTAGTTTTAAAAAAACAACTTGATCATTACAAAAATTTGAATCATGAGGAATGTGCGTGTTTGGCTCTCGTTAATGATGAACTTTGAAAACAACTCCCTGATGATATTACCAATGATGCATTAAAAAAAAGAAAGGAAAGAGCAGGAAAAATATACAATCTATTTGTTAGTATTGGTAAAGAAAAAACAAGAGGTATAAAAACATTTTCTGCCTCAACAATTTCAAACTTAAGTCAAGATAATATAGATTATGTAATTGTTAAAATTTTAGCTCGAAAAGCTGTGGCATAGCCACTAAAAAAAGATGGTAATTTTCATAAAGATGTACACTTATCTTAATAATAAACCATATTATTTTATCAAAATCAAGCTATTTCTTTCTGTAAATGATTCCTTACTGCGCCAAGATACTGCGCCAGTGACTTGCATGTCACGTTGGGGTGTACAATGGACTAATGTAGATCAAAACTAATTGACATCATATATAAAATTTACTAATTAACTTTTTTTCAACGAATATAAAA